AAAAGAGTAGTTGCTACATGTTAGCCTCTCATAGCTTTGGTTTTGAAAAATATTAGGAAAAGGAGGGAGTAAAATTTATCATAGATGTATAATACTGAGACATGCTATAATTATAAACTGACTTGTGATTTCTTATCGAGACATAGTTCATAATCATAATGGATGATTCATGCTTATTGATAGTATAATGGAATCATGATGTCACATGTTTTTTGTTTTATCATTTGTCTGGTTAGTGACATTTGATATAGAATTTGAGAATAATCAATTGGAATTTGATATGCGTTGGTTTAATTGCTTGGAAATCATTAGGGGTTCTCCAAGAGTTCGTTGGTTCCTATTTCTTTACCACAAATCATATGGCATCGTGACTTGCTTTATTTATTTAATTTAGATTATGTATAGCCATTTGTTAATTGTGATTGTTTTGTGCTAAAATAATTTGAGATCTGGGAATATGAAATAGGACAAATAAGAATTTTGATGATTGATACAAAATTATAACTTTTTATCATAATTAAAATCGTTGGGTCAGAGATACATAATAATATTTATAGGCATGGTATAATTGCAAAGTACTCAACTATATGCATATGATGCTTTATATTCACGTGATCGGTTGTGACAAAAGAAAGTTTCTCTCCAAACAGCTGCAAACACCCATCACGGAAATTCCGAAGCTCCTTCCTCCGGTCTCATCTGTTACAAGATCTCTCTTGTGTGTGGCGGGCCCAGTAGGAGTCTTGGGCCTCGTGTCCTCTTAAGCCCATTTTCCATTCCCTTAAATCTCAATTTATGTGCTGTTTTATGACTTTGGTATTTTTATCAGCTTTGTTACGGCCAATGCGTCATCGAGGATGGTTTCCTTTGCAACTTTCTCTCCTCCCATTGGGGAGAGATCAACTCCAACTTTCTCCCTTCATGGGGAGAGATCAAATCCATTGTCCTCCTCTATCAAGGAGAGAACCTTTCCATCATCTTCCTTATCTTTGAGAAGGGTCGTAATCCCGAGATCTTCCTCGGGAGTTCATAAGAGTTTTTTTACCATCTTGTCTTCTTATATATTGGTCTGTACGAGACTAGAAGAAGCATTCGGACTCCTTTCGAGGAATACCAAAGGTAGAAATTCGTTGACAATGTCACATTTGAAAGTGACTAACTTCAAGCGCTTCGGCTTCGTCGTGGAGACTCTTTTGACGCAGTTGAGACATGTCTCAGATTCGTTGTCCATCTGTTAACATGATGATCTATCTACTATATGTTTTATTGCCTTTAACTCGTGTTGTAGTAACTTAAGAGGATGTTTCATTCTCTCTTTGTAGTTCGGAAACTTAATTAATGAATTAAAGGTTGCTCAAAAAAAAAAAAAATCACGTGATCGGTTCATGCCTTACCATTAGGATTAGATTGTATTAACATGTTTTGTGGACAAATGTTTCTTTAATTGTTTGGTTTGGTAAGCAGTTCGATTTATTTTGGTACAATTCGTTGGTTTGGTATAATTCATGGTGAATAGCATGTTGCATTCATTATCGCTTATTTCAAGACTCATGTTACTTGTGTACTGTCTTATCGAACCATAATCACGTTTCGTCTTACTTACTGATCTGTTTGTTTAATTCATGACTTGTGAAACGGTCTTGATCCTCCAACCGTTGTAAACCATGTCCAACACTGAACTGTTTTGAAAAGTGAATCAATCAATTCCTTAGAATCATGTATAAGTTCATAAGATGTCCTAGAACTTTTATTTATAAAGAAAAAATTATTCTTAATTGATAAGGTTTGTATGGTAGCTATTGCTTA